ACGAGCTGGTCACTTTGGGGCCGGATGGGAATTTTTGACCTGCACCTACATTGGCCTTTGGGTGCAGGTCACCCATTCCATTCCCACTGATGCTGGGCGTTTGGGGTCCTTTAATAATAGAATGTCACTGTTAAGTAGATCCCAACGGCGGGTAGTGCAAAGCAGGATAGGAGCAGGGGATTTACAGGGGATACACAGGCAGCCCTCCTCTCAGAACTACAGTATGAGAGGGACCCCAGGGGGCGTGGTTCAATTGGGGTCCCGAGGCTAGGCTTTAGGCTGGCCTCCGGTGTGTATGGCCAAGAGGGTGCTGGACTGGAGAACAGCGCCCCTTTTTGGGCAAAGGATTCTGCTAAGGAAAGATCTGGAGCGGTCAAATAAGATTGACAACGGTCTCAGACCTGTTTTGCACTATGGCAAAAAAGTGTTAATAAGTTAATAAAGTTGTGGTAGTTTTGCACTACGGCAGGCCCCCTTAAAACAGGGGAAATGAAAGTGTTAATAAGTTAATAAAGTTGTGGTCCTAGTTTAACCCACTTTATTGTGCCTCATTTTGTTATTCCGGGCTGGGTGGGAAAAGCCATCCCGACTGCACTTGCGGTGGTTCAGGGAACTGGTGCGATAACACTCAGCTCAGATGTCTTCTGAGGGCCTTTGGGTTAGTGTAGATATTTCTCAATCTACACTACAGGCTTGTTCAGAATAGCAGGACCTGTGGAGGCAGGGTAGGATTCGAAGAGGCCTGATGAAAACAATTTGAAACTTAACCAGCCTTGCTTCCCATGTAACTATACATTTAACCCTTCAAGGAAAAACCACAACATTTGTGGTCAGCAGTTCTCCTCCTCTGAATAAACTAGGAGTGCGGCAATGAAAATACTGCACTGTGCAATTCTGAGTTCTTGTCCAGAGCTCCAGTCCACTATTCGTGTTTTCTTTAAGGATACTCCATTCTGCTCCTCCTCCTTTGAGTTCATTTTGAAGGGTTTTCTCTAAATAGGTTGTGTACTGGATAGGTATCTGGCTGCAGAGTCAGGTCGGGAGTTCATTTCCCCACTGTACCTCTTTGTCAGAGGCTGGGCTCCATGATCCGGTTCTGTGGAAGACCCTATGGATCATGAAATTGCATGTTTGATGATGATGGTGGTGGTGGTGGTGGGGAGGAACTGCTGGTTCAACAGATTGACACAGTTTGTTTCCCAGCCGAAAGCTGGTCTGCAGTTAGGTCCCCTGCCTGTCCCAGTGGGCTCTCACTCAGAGGCAGTGCCCGGAGGAGCTGGAGTGGGTAGCTGCTGCTCAGTGGGCACTCACTGGAAGGGATGGTGCACTGAACCATGGATCACCTGTTTGCCTGGGAAATGAACTGCCAAACAAGCAGTTCATGCCCATCTCTAACGATGATGATTTAAACTGCACATCACATGTTATACTTACATGTAGAACTGCTGGAAAACTCAGTTGATTAGTTTGGAAGTTCGAGTCCCCATTGTGCCTCCTTGAGAGCGGCTTGACTCAATGATCCATTTTAGTTCTGCAATTCTAAGATTCATTATTATTGTTCGAAAATACCAGACACAGTCAAATAAAATTATTGAAAAAACATTGACTGATACAAGTTTTAACGAAAAACTATCTGTTAAATATTGGCGCAGTATACAGTGGTGCCTCGCTTAACGGCGATAATCCATTCCAGGAAAATCGTCATTAAGCGAAAACATTGTAAAGCAAAAATAAAACCCCCATTGAAATGCATTGAAAACCTTTCAATGCGTTCCAATGGGCTTAAAACTCCCCCTCCCGCGAAGATACTCCATATGGTGGCCATTTTCGCTCCCTGTATAGCGAGGAATCCGTCCCTAAACACAGCGGGGAGCCATTTTAGTTACCCGGTGGCCATTTTGAAACTGCCGATCAGCCGTTTACAAATCATCATTTTGCGAAGAATCGGTTCCCGAAGCAGGGAACCGATCATCGCAAAGCGAAATTCCCCCAGTTAGACCATCGTTTTGCGCTCACAATTGTGATCGCAAAAAGATCGTCGTAAAGCACATTTGTTGTAATGCAGGGCAATCGTAAAGCGAGGCACCACTGTATATACTGTTCCTTATATTGCCATTTTTTTGGTAGTCCTGATGATGTTATTTTGGAAATCTGCAACTGTTTATAATACTGTGTGAAATTTCTTGATATTGTTCCCAAAGCCCCAATGACTACGGGGACCACTGAAGTGTGTTTGTTCCAGAGGTGAGATGTTTCAATTGCCAGGTCTCTGTACTTTGTTAGTTTTTCCAATTCTTTATTTTCAACTCTGGCATCCCCTGGAATTGCAATGTCAATTATCCAGACATTTCTTCATTCTATTACTACTGTGTCTGGTGTGCTATGTTCATGGTGAACATAGCATCCCCCTGAAATATTCCTCTTTTGATGTTAACTTCCCCAATTCCTTCACCATGGGTCATTAAGATGGTTTACCATTTTTCCATGTTTTTCTTGAGGAACTTCTAAATGTTTTTACAAATCCCAAATATTTTAGGCAGGTGTTAATCCAACTGTGTGGCAATGAGTCAAATGCCTTTTTATAGTCTATTCAGGTCATGTTAAGGTGTGGGGTTTTTTTTGTCTTTTTTCATTCTTCAGTATCATTTTATCAATAAGTAGCTGATCTTTTCACCTCTTGACTTTTTAAATTTCCTTTTCTGTTCAGTTGGGTATAGGGAGTTTTCAGTTAAGTATTCATGTATTGATCTTGCAAGTACTTCTGTGAGGAGCTTGAACATGGCATGTAATTGATCTATAATTACTGGATTCATTGCCCTTTTGATGATCTTTTATTACAGTGGACCCTCTGCTTACGGAATTAATCCGTATTGGAATGGTGGCTGCAGGTTGAAAAGTCTGTAGGTCGAGTCTCCATTGACCTACAATGCATTGAAAACCGGCCATTTTTGTTCTGGTTTTGTTCCATTTTGGTTTTTTTCTGGTCTGTAGGCCGATTCTCCAGCTGCAAGTTGAACCTAAATTTTGCGGCCAGAGAAGTCTGTAACTCGAAAAGTCTGTAAGTCGAGGGTCCACTCAATCAGAAAGTACAGCCTGTTGTCATCTAGTCTTCACTTGTAGTATTTTGAAGTAAGTGATTAAGTTTCGCTGCTATGTGTTGATGGACTTGTTAGATGCTTTAACCAAAATCCATGCAGCTCATCTGGACCAGGTGCACTCCAATTTTTTACAGCCTTTACTTGCCTCTTTATCATTTCAGTTGCTATTACAATATCATCCATTTGTTTTCCTTGAGTCTCTTTACAAATGCCTTTAATCCATGAGGCGTTCTTGTTATTTTCAATTGGGCTTTCCCTCAGTTCTTTCCAAAATTTTAGAGCATCATTTTTACATGGGCCTAATTTCTTTTGCTTTGCATCTTCTCCTAGTGACGTATACAATTTTTTAAATTTTTAGTCGTTTAGTCGTGTCCGACTCTTCGTGACCCCATGGACCAGAGCACGCCAGGTCCTCCTATTTTCCACTGCCTCCCGGAGTTGTGTCAAATTCATGTTGATTGCTTCGATGACACTGTCCAACCAATGTAGTTGGTTATTTTGAAATGGCATGTTTTCTCTATATTGTTTCATGTGCCTATCATATCTACTGTATCGATTTTGTTTGCTGTAGCTGTTACCCGCTGTTTTGATTCTTCCACAGTTTCAACAATCATTATTCTTTCTAAGTCATACATTTTGCATAGTGTGGCTTTTACTTTTTACTTTTTAAGTTTTGAATCTTTCAAGTGTTTTAAGTTGCTAATGTCTGCACGTAATTTGGTTATTTTTCTTTCCAGACAAATCTTCCATTTTGGGGTGCCATGAGTTTTCTGGCGTTTTTGCAGCTTGCAACCAAGTTCCATGGTTACTATAGTCGCTATGCTATACGTGAGCTGGTTTGTTTCCTTTAGCGTGTTGGTCAGAATTGTTCTGATGACAACATTTGCATCATTCAGTACTGTAGATCTTTTACTGGTTTCTCTTTGTAATTGGTGCAAATTGAGGATCCTTTGTCTTTCTGTGTTCTGGCTAATATGGGTTACTATTTTTTACCTCAGTGATGTTTGCTCATAATTTTTGGGTTGTTCCATAAGTTCTCCCTCTATATTGATATGTTTTCTTCCACTACTGTGTCTACCTCTAGCCTCCATTTGTCTTCCATATTATGGTCATTATTCTATGTTGATTTTGCCACCTTTTCTAGTTCTTGCACTTCCAGTTCTGAAAGATCATCATCATCATCATCATCATCATCATCATCATCATCATCATCATGCACACAAAAGTTAAAGAACTGATGGAAAGGGTTGTTGCTGTTGTTGTTATATCATTCTTTTAAGCCTTGGGATTCCGCAGCCTGCCAACGGCTCCATCTGTATATGGATACAGCTGTTTTTGCCAAAATAAGGACTGGCAAGCAAGCTGGAAATGTTATACATAAATTCTTAGGGGGAAAAAATCTTTTAAAAAGAGGAAGGTCTTATACACGCAAGAGGAAATGGGGGGGGGGGAAGAGAGAGAAAGGACAAGGGCGATGAGTAAAGGAACCTGGAAGAATTGCACAAAACCAGAAGATGTTAAAAAGTGATTAAGCAGCCAGCCAGCCAGGACCAGATGGTCAATTTAAATAGCCATGCCCCAGTGGAAAGTATTTCATTTTCATGGGTCTGGTGTGCTTTGTTCTTTCTAATTCATTCTCTCTTCCCTTCTCTCGCCCCGCCCCATCCTCCTTTTCCCAAAAGATGTCCTTGCTAAGGTTTTCTTGTGGCAGCTTGAAAAAGAAGGCACTGAAGCAGGACAGGCAAAATGAAGTGAGCACTGGAAAATTTAGAACACTGAGACTGAAAACTTATCTCTCTCTCTTTTAAAGAGGACAGAATACAGCCGTGCAACAGAGCTTTTTTGTATTGCGGGGAAGCTGGCTTTGAACAACTTCCCCTCCCATTTCTCCCTTGACACCAGATACATTGAACATCCCCACATCGTATCCTCATTTGCATGGAGAGAACTGCGGGACAGTTGTGAGGCTGGAGACAAATGTCCTCTGTCATTAGGTGCCTTCATCCCAAAGGACTGTTGTTGACTTCACTCAAAGAAAAAAGGTCACACGAGCCAGCGCTGGGAGTTAGATTTGCCACGTTTGTAACAAAACACGGCAACACGACTGGAACCCAACTTAGTCCTTCTTCAGTGTGCTCTGATAAACATGAAAAGAAGGGTAAATTCTGAGGTGTGTGTTTAGGTGGCGGACCAGGGAAGGTTTTAGGAGAAACCAGCAAGATGAAAGTCAATGTGAGTATCGGAGCATTTCTTTCCACTATTTTACATCTAAGAGTTGTTTATTTGATAAAGAATATACAAATTTTTTTGAGGAAGGGAGAAAGTGATGTACAGTATTTATATAGAAGGAAGATTTTCCCCATCTGCAGTGCCTTTGCTGCTTTTTTTAAAAATTATTATTAATATTACAGAATTGTCTAACATTTTATTTTGCTTGTCTTGATGGGTCAGCAATTCAGAAAATGTTTGTTGAGGCGTTCCTCCATCGATCGCAAAGGGTAGATATCCATTTTGTAAGAATCCTGAGAAGTCAATCTCATTGAACTCAATGGTCTTAATTTTGAACAGATATGTGCAAAATTACACTTTCAACCCTCAAACTCCCTCTTTTTATAGGTGCTTGCAGTTGTGTTTGAAGTACCTGGTCTCATTAACGAATGACTGAAACTTGATAATCCTGAATGTCTTCTATCATCCCATACTCTTGAATTAAAAATCATACATTCTGAAATGACAGCTCACTTATATTTAAATGAAAGTGTTTTTGTTTTGTTTTTAAATTGTTTTTAGGAAGGAAGGGAGAAGCATTCTAGCATCTGGATTTCTTTGCCATCTTTTAGAAATAAGATGTATTCCAGGTGTTTTGTGCCCAGTTTTTATCTGGGAATTCCTTGTGCATGTAGATAAAGTACTTCTGCATAACGGGCTGAGGATTCGTGGCAATCACAATTAAAAAAAAACTTTAGGGGATAAATGAATTGATAATATAATATATATACATAATACAATAATAATCAAATAATGCAGAGCTGGAAAGGGATCCATGGATTATTGAGTCCAGTCCCTCTCAAGGAGGCACAGTGGGGAACTGATCTCCCAACCGCTGGCTTTGCAGCCAGAGACCTAAACCACTGAGATTGGTTTCTGAGTAGAGTTGTAAACACAATAAACTAGGAAGTTCTCTAGATTGTGAAAAACACATATAGTAAATACAACTGCTCCCAGAAAATCCTGCTCTTTGTTGTTACTGCCAGTATCTGTCTCCCCATTTTCTGTCATTCAACTAATATTGTGTGGTATCTACCTCAAAGGCATAATGTCTCCATTTGCAAAATTGGCAAATGAGGAAATATGTGTTTTCCTTGACATGCTATTTTCTAGAAACTGATTTTTTTTGTTCTGTTTTCTGGGTTTTATTTTGTTTTTTTGCATGAAGGAACATAGAAATGTAATCTCAAGTGCTATAGCACGGCTACATCTACAGGCTGGGTTTTCCCCAATTTGTTGTAGCTTGGCCCAATACGACTACATTGGTAGCCTCCACCATATCCTGTGGCAGTGAATTCCCACTTCTACTGTAGTGGCTTCTCCTAAAGAAACCTGTTCTTTTGAGGTAAACCTGAGAAAAGAATATTTATTTGAATTCAGTTAACGGCACTGTGAGAGGAATTTGCCTCACTCAGATTTTGTCTTACTCATGCTAAACCCCTGGCTGTTAATGCCACATGAACCTGGGTTGTCCAGTTAAAACCAGTCCTTAAATGCCTCACTTGCCTTAAAAGCACTTATAGAATCACTTTAAGTTGTTTTTTACTTGACAGCCTATAACAAGATGCTATTGCATTTTTAAAAATCTAAAATATTTAAATGACCTTTTTAGTCACATCGCAGCACTTTAGCCCTTTATTCCTTGAAAGTGTAACCCTTTGACTGCTGGCAAACCTGGAAAATGGACCTTGGCCTCACTGAGATTATACACTCCTTTTACAGTTTTTAGCTTGGAAGAGAAAGTTTGTGTAGCAGATAAAACAATGATTTCTACTTACTTACCACAGAGTGTCTGTTTTAGCTAATGGTAGTTGTTTAGTCGTTAAGTCGTGTCAGACTCTTTGTGACCCCATGAACCAAAGCATGCCAGGCTCTCCTGTCTTCCACTGCCTCCTGGAATTTGGTCAAATTCATGTTGGCAGCTTCAGTGAAACTGTCCAACCATCTCATCCTCGGTCGTCCCCTTCTCCTCTTGCCTTCACACTTTCCCAAAATCAGGGTCTTTTCCAGGGTCTTCTCTTCTCATGAGATGGCCAAAGTATTGGAGCCTCAGCTTCAGGATCTGTCCTTCCAGTGAGCACTCAGGGTTGATTTCCTTCAGAATGGATAGGTTTGTGTTCTCCTTCCAGTCCAAGAGACTCTCAAGAGTCTCCTCCAGCATCACAATTCAAAGGCATCAATTCTTCAGTGGTCAGCCTTCTTTATGGTCCAGCTCTCAGCTAATGGTAGACATAAGCGATATTGTTTCATAGTCTTTTTAGAAAAATCATGATGCTAAATACAGTAGTGTGTAATATAGACAAACTTGCATGGATAAGACAATTAATATATATAAGGTTGGGACATGGACTTATCCGGTCCTGTGTTGAGCCCGGGGCAGCTGCTGGAAAAAAAGATGGCTGCCACCACATGGTGAGCGGCAAAGAAGCCTGGGATGGATTGGGCCGGCGTAGGTCAAAGGGTGTGGGGCTGCTTGCTGGTGGACCTGAGGAACAGGGTTTCCAGTCTGGTCCGCTGGCACAGTTAAAAAGAAAGGCAAGTCCCCTTGCCCGCCCGCCCTAGTTGGTTGCTTTACTTTTCTATGCTCACACATTGATATGGTTATTACTTCATTGGGTTGCTAGTTTTATATGTTCATTTGTCACAACTTGGAAGGCATTTTCAGGCGTTGGGAAGGATCCAGCTGGTTGTTAGACAGCAGGTGACAACCTGCATGTCTGCGTGGGTGAGAAATCCCCATGTGGGAACCTGGATGGCGGACCTGGATCTGCCCCAGCTTGGGGGGGCGAGAGATTTGCCTCTGCCCTAGGAGGCAGGGGAGATACAGTGTGGTTTATGCCCGCATGGCCTCCCAAGGGAACTGCCACCTCAGAGGTCTCTTACGGCGACAGCAGATGGCATCAGGGGGCATTCAGGTCCCCCGATGAGGTGGATCCAACCCAATGCATGGCCAGGACGACTGCTGCTATGATCAATAAAGTTGTGGCCTCTTTTTCTCCAATTATGTTGTGTGTGGAGACTAAAGGATGCCTAATTTAACTCATGAGTAGATTTTATTTCACACACTAGCAAGGTTATGCTGCAGCTTTGATTTTCATGACTACCACATTTTCCTTGTTCCTTGCTGCCCTTTTCTTTAAAAGCAATACACCACTGTCTGCCAGTAGTTAGGTCTTGTTAAATTAACTAGATGGGATGCTATTGCAAAGAAACGTGCCTAAGAAACTGAGTCCTGTCTCACCCGAGACTCACTGCATGTTTACCAGTTCAAAGGTTGAGCAGATCAAACAGTTACCGTACAGTCTTGTTAACTTCAGAAAAGACACTGAGTTTACCAAAGACTCCGAGACCCTTAAAATATAGCAAATGTACTGTGACATCAGCATTTTCTTCATTGCATATCTTTCATCGTAAGATGCCTCAATCATTATCTATAGTTACTAGAAGCAGAGAAGGAAAGAGAGGCCAAAATTTTTGTTTGTGGTTTTTGGGGGTGTCTATATTTGTTGTTATGGGCCGTCAAGCTGCTTCTGATTGATGATAGCCCTAATAGGGTTTTCCAGGCATGTGGGAAGTTCAAGGAGTGGTTAACCACTTTCCCCTGCCCAGTCAATTTCAGGCCTCCTGAATCTCAGTCCATCAGTCTATCTGCTACACTATGTAGATTCTGGGGTTCTAAATTAGCCATTAATATGCAGTTGGGTATGAGAATTATGGCTGCACTTGATGAACTGGCTGTGGATGGAATGCAATTTGTACTCGTGTGGGCATGTGGCAAGTAATGTGCACATTTGGAACGGTGCATAGAACTTTTACTATATGCCCCAGACACTTCATGAATGTGAAATAATCCGTGGACAGTCTAACCACAAGAAATTCCTATAGCTGAAGAGCTAGTTATGACCATTGTGTTTTTGAATTTAAAATAATAATGCTCATTAAATGTCATCAGGTTTTATTATACTTTCCTATTAAATGAAACATGATCCCTACCCATTCCCTATCCCATACTGGTAAAGCATTCAACGTTCATATCAGGGATACTTGGATGCATTGACTCTGGACATTGGATATGATTGCTTGAATGATCATCATAAGTGCTCATGATTTGTGTATTTGAACATCAAATATATAAAAAATTCCAGACTACAACATAAACTATGAACCGAAAAAACCCATGAACCGGGCTGGTTCGTGGTTCAGTTCGTGCTTCGGTCCATGCATTCCGTTTTGTTGAAACAAAATGAAGTGCCAATTTTTTTTCTATCCAGTGCTTCCTTTTGGCAAAACAGATGCCCCCATTGCTTCCCTACCTGGTCCTGCCTCATCCTCCTCTTCCTTCTTCGCAGATGCCATCGTCAGAGACAGCAGCCCAGCTTCCCTTCCGGAAACCAGGCCTGCTCTCTCTGCGCATGTGCCACCCTATCAGTGAGGCAGTTGTGGCAGTTAAGTGGCAACGGTGTGGAAGCAGTGAAGGTAGCATGGTGGTGGCACAACTGGAGCAGGTAAGCCCCACCCCAAACCAGGCACTATCCTCAAATCCACAATCCTCAAATAGTGGAAATTCTTCTTTTGAAGAAGTTACAGAAATGTCTCCCCACCCTCCACCTTTTTCTCATTAACTGGTACTTAAAGTCTCAATAACTTACGCTGAGATATTTATAGGGAAGCCTTTACCCTTCTCACTGCCTCCATTGCTTCCCTACCTAGTCCTGCCTCATCCTCCTCTTCCTTCTTCGCAGATGCCATCGTCAGAGACAGCAGCCCAGCTTCCCTTCCGGAAACCAGGCCTGCTCTCTCTGCGCATGTGCCACCCTATCAGTGAGGCAGTTGTGGCAGTTAAGTGGCAACGGTGTGGAAGCAGTGAAGGTAGCATGGTGGTGGCACAACTGGAGCAGGTAAGCCCCCCCCCCACGACCAGGCACTATCCTCAAATCCACAATCCTCAAATAGGGGAAATTCTT